GGTCCTGAACCCCGGGCGTCCGCTCCAAACCCCTCCCTCCTCTGCCCCTGCAGGCTGCCTCGCTCTGTTAAGAACAATGGCAGTGCTGTCTTGTCTTGCTGAAGAGAAAACCACTCCTGGTCTTGAGACCCTAGCACGGTTCCTGGCATCTATGGTCTTGCCTGACCCCAACAGGACAGTTGTAAATTCCCACGTCACCTGGTGCCATCCACAGATTAAACACTCAAAGTACCATGTCCTGTGTGGCCCTGCAGGGGCAGGGCCTGGGGTGGGCAGGAGAAGCCCAGGCTTCCACACAGGCTGGGCCTGCCCCACACTGCAGACGCCCCAGCTGAGAGCCACACCTGCTAACTTCACACACACACATTTGTAGGCTCCAGGCTCTATTCACAGCCCCCCCAATCCCGCTGAGCACAAGGAAATTCCTTGTCAGTGGGACACCACCCAGGCTAGACCCAAAGCACCCAGATGCAGGCTCGTGCTCTGCCCCTGCCAGGGGTGTGCTCCTGGCATCTTTCTCTGGAGCGCTTCTCCACAGCCAGGGGCTTGGGTGAGCGGGGCTGGGCTGGCCAAGCAGAAGCAGGCCCCAAGAGCAGGCTGCCTCCGCACAGAGGCCCCTCCAAACCCCAAACTTTCACCCGGAAAAGGAGGGGCTTCCAGAGGGGGAGGGGTGAGAAGAGACTCAGGCTGACATCTGGACAAGAGCTCCGTGGAGGACGAAGCCGACAGGACTCTGCTGTCAGCTCAGGGACAGAGGGCAGGGCAGGTTGCTGGGTCCCAGGGCTGGACCGCCAAGACCAGGATGGCGCTAGCCAGCTGCCTGGAGCATTGTGGCCAGAGACTCAGCCTATGTGTGGCTTCAAGTGACAAGTGCCTTAAAGCACAGCCTTAAAGGAGAGTTAAACATGCCTTCCAAGGAAACCCTGGCCAGGAAAGAATCAGCCCCGCCCAGGCCCCAGAGCTGCCAATCCCCTCGCACAGGTCCGAGAGGGAGAGCGCGCTGCAGCCCACTCCTTGCCGTTCACCTCCAGCTTCCTCCTGGCCTCTTCCTGCTCCTGCCGCTCCTTCGCCATCCGCTGGGCTCTCTCTGCCTCCGCCTTCCGCCTGTCCTCCTGCTCCTTCTCCTTAGCGAGGTTTTCAAAGTTAGCTCTGATGTTACTTGTTTTGCTGGTCACTATAGAGAAAGGAGGGAGGACGTGTGGCTTGAGCACAGCAAAAACACTGCTCCTGGACAACAGCCCCACAGAGGGTGACCGCCCCAGGAACCGGTCATCCTCCCACCCCTGAGGAGGGAAAGGTTCTTGCAGCTGCCAGCTCACACTGGTCCGGAGCCAGCACTGGGCGCCGGCCGCAGGGCACTGCACACCTGGTGGGACTGGCGATCCCCCTAAGCTTGGCATCAGGAAGATCTTTAAACAAGACAGAATCTTCACCACCACACTCACAATTTTAAATAAAAACAGCCAGTTTCTCTTAAAGGCATCTGTCCTTGATAAAGCAGTTAAGGTACTGATGTATACTGTAATCGACATATACTGAATATAGTGAATCTCAACTGCTGAGTATACATTTTTTTATATTGTGTGTGACAAAAATGGAAAAGAGGGCAGTGGCTCATGCCTGTAATTCCCAGCACTTTGGGAGGTTGAAATGGGAGGACTGTCTGAGATCAG